CTCTCCTGGCAGATTCACAATGCATACTATCTTTTAAAGACAAAGTGGTCATAGTAACTCATGTGGCTCTACTTACGGGTCATGTGAATCACACTCTATTTCTGTAGTTCACTAAAGACATCAATTTTTAGATGCACCTGGTAATATTTTAGTACTGACAATGAAAAACTCTTACTAATTTGATACGAAACCTATATTTATAACATTTAAGATGCCTCTCAATTTCAGAGGTATTAAAATGTATTTAAAAAATCCATTGTAGAACAAGTGAAATCATTAGAATTCAAGTGGAGAGGGATAAAATGTCCCTTCACTGCAGTAAACAAAAAAATATACATATAAGACTACAATGTATTTGTAATTCTGAAATCAATACTCACGGTGCTATCATAGTCATGCATGGACACGCAGAACAGAAAAGAATCTTGTCACCTGATGTGCATGTTCCCAGCTGAGGCTGAACAAAGAGACACTGTCTCTTAGCTCTCATACTATAAACAAATGTCCTTTTCATGATCCACTAGTGCCACATTTTTTGTAGTTTTGTGTTTTGTTGATTTTGTTTGAAATGATCCCTAAGCAGAGTGCTGCCTAGTGTCCCTAAGCGCAAGAAGGCTGTGATGTGCCTTTTGGAGAAAATACGTTAGAGATGCTTCATTTGGGCATGAATTAGAGAGTGCTGTTGGTCATAAATTCATGTAAATGACACAACATATATTAAAGTAGGTGTCTTTAAACAGAAAACACATGTAAAACAAGAATATATTAAGTTGAAAATGTGATCACAGTCAATGGGCAGCACCAGTCTTCTAGTAAGCCCTACCTCAGCCATCATTTTTACAATACATTTCCTTATTTTTTAAGCCTGTTTGAATCAAGTTTTCTGTGCTTGCATTAGAATACACAAATACAATCTAAAATAAAATTATATGGTCAATCCTTTTCTGTCTTTGGTCCCTTATCTTAAATAAAAATAAGTTATAAGGATAAACAAAATAGCCAGAAAAAAAAATAGATAATGTTGTGACCAGAGGACTGGACTGTAACCCTGCCTTTTCCCTGGGTAATGGGAAGACTCTAACCCTGCGTTTCCCCTAGGAGTAATGGCTCAGCACTAATTCAAGGTCCCCATGGCTTTACAGAACTGTGAATAACAAGAATCAACTGCATTTGACACCTAGAGCCCTTGCTTCTATTCATTTTGTAAACTGAATCACTTATGCAAAATACATAAAACACATAAAACTCTCAGACATACTTTTCTGTCGCTGTTTTAATTGGAATGTCTCTAGAAAATGTCTGCTATTGGTTTTAAGATAAGACTTTCTTCATCATGTTCAAGAGTATCTTCTAGTTTAGGTTTTCAGGTTACTCTGACATCTATTACAGACGATCATGTGAATTCTGTTTGCTGAGTATATTAATAAATTCGAAATACTTAACCATCCTTGCATTACCCAACATTATAATAGGTTAAAACATATTATGAAATTTGATTTTCTATTATTTCACTTTTATTTGACAGTTTTCTACCCAAACTCATAAAACCTTAAACTTTAAGATACCAGATGTGTGGAAAACGCAGCTGCATTAAGATCCTATCTACTTTTTTGGAAGAAGGCAGGCAAGGGAAGCATACTGCAGCCTAGTCTGTTTTCTTTAACACGGCAGTATTCCCTTCTTAGCTAATAGCAGCAATCAGCTCAAACACCTTTTTCTTCATACAATTCTTTTCACATAAAAATGAAATAATGACCTGTAGTGGAATAAACTCAATCTAGTATCCACTGTGGTTTAATCTTAACATTTAAATTGTGTTATTAGAATGGTTTCACACTACAAATATCTAAATGTTAAAACTCTCAAAATAAACCATAGTGAAAAATCTTTGTTACATTGACATTTGAACTTAAAAATCAAAATGGGCTTCCAGCACACAATTTTAAAAACAGATAGGTAACATGAAGCAGTCTATCATCACGGCATTCACAATTTGCAATTAACCTATGTACACTTATTTAACTCCATGACAGGAGTCAACTCATGTTTATTCACCTGTGCAAGTCTTTTTTTGTCACCTGAAATCTCCTTTGTACCTTGCTGCATCACTGGGCTCCCTTGCCTTTTGTCTTCATTCAATTAATATACCAGCACCAATAGATCAGATTCACACACACACACACACACAGACAAATGCTCTTGCTATCTCTCAATTTATGTAACCTTGTAACAGGGCCTAAACCTTCTTTTTTAGATAATGATATTTGCAGAAAAGTTCCTTTTCATTTAATAAAATAAAACCCCACATGCGTGATTAAATGAAATCAGATTTAGTTCCCTTCAACCCTTAAAGTTAGGGTTTCCCCTTAACATACTAACAAATGGTAGTAAGCTTTGTAAGGAATTGTACATACAGAGAGGTATTTTTCTCTCAGCTTAACCCATTAAAACAATTTTTAAAAATTCTTATTGACTGGAAAGAATCCAGTTTTGCTGTCAAATAAAGTAGGTTTTTTCCTTTTGTACTAGGACTCCTTGTAAAGGTACTTGATAAAGGAGCCACTGACAGGTACATCTCACATTAATAGGTTTCAACACTGCTTACAACTGACAGTGAACATTACCGGCAGTTTCACTCAGAAGAATGTACTATATTACACTGAGAACCTATTAACCCAACCTCAAAAAACTAATAATAACAATGAAATCACTAACTCCTAATTTAGAAAACTATCACTTTTTACTAAATACCTAAGTCTCCATGGAGTAAAACTTTGGAAAATCAATTTTAGACCCATTACATAGTTTAATTTCTGAAGTACCAAGCACTTATGTCATTTGTAGGTCGGTTCCACAGAAAGGAATTAATAAAGACAATAAAATGCACATTCAGTGCATGTGAAGTTAAAAGGTGTATATTCTACATAAATTCATACAAGAAAAATTCTAATTTGAAAAATTAAAAGCCTGATATAAAAATGGAATTATTCTGGGATTACCTAGTAGTAATGCTTAGCTCTTACTATTTCAGTATCACGAATATTCATGAACATTTAAAACTTATTCTGATGTAGGCAATAGACAACTTTGTCCTACATTTATGTTTATTAAAAACTCACATAAACAAACCTGTACAAAAAATATCCCAAATCACATATCACTTTGAAACAGTAATCTTGAGACATTATTATCGCCTAGGACCCCCTCTTCCTCTTCCCCGGCCACGTCCTCTTCCTCTTCCTCTTCCTCGGCCTCTTCCTGCAACTGTAGGGAGATGAAAAAAAAGAAAAAGCAAGATAAATTCTCTTCTGTGCTAATGCTACCTGGTTACCACGAAAAGCATCTGTAGCAAAAAAACCTTTAAGTCAATTTCTCTCAAATGTGACCTCAGAATCACCTCTCCCAACATATTACCACATAGGAACAAGAACTGCTGGCCTACAGAGAAACTTTATGGTAATGTTTGTTTTCATGTGAATTTATTTACTGACAGATTCATCAAGTTTTAAAATATTTTTTCTTTGAATCATGTCTGATTTGCCACAAAATGAAATGCAAATAATCTGAACCTCACACAAGATGAAAGAGATATATCAGTGAACAGAACATGAATACCAAGTGCCAGATTCTTTGTTACTGACTAGAATCCAAGCAAGTTAATTCAAAGACTAGAAAGTATGACTCTTCAAATTCTTAAGTCATTTGATCCAACCATAACCTTGTTCTTTAATCTACATAGCAATATCCCTGCCACATGGTCATCCTAACTCCACTTGAGAATCACAGTGACAGAAAACTCACCTCCCAAATGAACTTATTTAATCTTTGGACAGCTATGAATATTACAAAAATCCTGACATGGAGTTTAAGCCAGTCACATGCTAAATTTCTATCAACTGATTATAGTCCTACCATTCAAAGCAAATAAAGTCTATGACTTCTGTTAAAACAAAGATTAACCACACTTATCTCCTAAAACTATTCATGGTAGAAAAAGAATAAAAATGGTTTATTCCCATAGAAACAAAAACGAGGCAGAGAAAACAGTCAATGAATTTTTAAATCAGAAAGTAGACCGAGGACTGTAAATGTTTAACAAAGGAAGAACACCTAAAGACCTAGGATGTTGGAAGCGTGGAGTGAGATGAAGAGACAGGGGTCTGAAAATGGGGGGAAAAAAGGGTTGACAATTCTTATGTAGAGGAGGAGGCTGACCATTCTTCTCCATCTTGCAAAGGTACATAATGACTACTTCTCTAACAGGTAGGTAGGTAGGAGAGAAAAGGTAATATAAACCTGAAGACACTGAAGCAAAACAAAAACAAAAACAAAAACAAAAACAAAACAAAAACAAAAACAAAAACATTTGCAATGTGGACAGCAGCAAGCAGCACAGAGCTGAGGAGGAGAGGACAGGGATTCAGTGTCTTTCCATCTATAGATTGCGCTCTGAGGTGCATTTTTTCTTTTTTAACTAAAATAGGGTGCAATAAGAAACTTGAGGGCATGTACATGTATTAGATTCATCAATTCTTCCTGAGACTTTTGTTTCAGGTATGAATGGGTCATGAAAGAAACTGTATTTCTTAGTGTGGGTGGAAGGCAAAAAAAATCTCAAAATCACTGTATTAAGTGACTGTCTACAATATATCCAACCCCTTTATCCTGCCCTACTCCTATCAATGCTGGCTGCCAGGCATATGTCTCCCAGGGTAAGTGACAGGAATCTTTTTGTGAGAAAACCAGCTCCAGAAAAGACTTACATCTAGATCCTAAAATTTCAGGTCTTCTCCATGAAGAGGCCAACTGATTTCTAAACCACCCCAAAGTGAGACCCACCAGCTGAGAAGTCTAATCTCCCTTCCCAGAACTTCCCTTTTTAGGGTCCTTATTATTAAATTAAATTAAAACCAAAGAGCAAGATACTTAAGTAAAGTCTTCAACATAAAGACCAAATAAAAGAGATTAAACAAAAAAGGAAAACGAGAGAAAACAATGCCAAGTACAGAATAAAACTTAAAAAACAAAACTACAATATCCTACCAGTTGAAATCCTATCCAATTTTTTCAATTAAGAAAAAAAAAAAACATTACACCCCTAAAACAAAAACAGGATTTTATGAAAAATCATCACAGAACAAGGAGGCTTTAAGATTAAATATATGCTAGGTTGGAAGTTTAAGGTCACGGAAATTTCCCAGAAAATAGGACCGAAAAACAAAAAGAGAAGTAGAAAAGACTTAGGAAATCATTCAGAAGACCCAGTTAGTATGAATTCCAGGAAGAAACAACAGAACAAGCAAAGAAGAAAAAACTTAAGGAAGTTATACAAGTTAATTTCTTAGCTCTAAAAGGTAAGACTATCCATATTTAAAGGGTCCACCAAGTATGCAGAACAAAATGGAGGGGAAAAAAAGGGAAGGCAAGCAAAGACCATATATATGCCAAGTCATTAGGAAATTTCAGAGTATCAGGAATAAAGAGTTACTCTTTCAATCTTTCAAAGTGTGTTGGGGCCAGCCATGCACAAAGAGACTGGAAGTAAGAATGGCACCAGTCCTTTTCATACTAACACCCAGAACTATAATAAACACTAAATGCACTAATGGCAAATGTAGGCAATTAAAAAAACCCAAAAACTATATTGTTTAAATGCTTCTAATTTGAATGGTATTAGGGTGTAAATAGACCATTCACAAAATGTTTAAAACCTTCAAACTTACCAGCTTCCCTTTTCTTAGATTTCACCTTCGGTTCAACATCCACAAGTAACGTATCCAGAGGTAAGCTGTCTGGCAGAATAAAATATCGAATGTTGTTTCCTCGAATACTCAGTGTTTCTAGCTGTACAGGTTCTCTGTTCTTCAGGGTCATCTTTACAGCTTTCAGATGCGTATTCATGCTGACATCTACGCCTAGAGGGAAAAAGAGAGCAATTATTAGCAATGGTAAGGAAGGCAACCAATTTATCTATGAAGCCACAGGAAATGCGGTAATACAAGAGTATTGTCCATTGTGCTACACTGCAAGTTTCTAATGATATAACTTAGTACAATTGGTAAATGAGGGAGTAAGGTCAGTATCAGAAATCTTTCCTCCAGAGGTTTTCCTTAGCACGCAATGTTTTGCACAGTAAGGTCTGCTTACAGATGTGAGTGCAGCAAGCCACAGAGGAACCCTGACTGGTACACATGGCTTATTTGAACTGTCCCCATGTACACTTCCTCATATCTTAGGGTTGGCAGTGCTTATTGTATCGTTCTCCCACTGTCTCCATAACTTACTTAGACTGCATTCCACCAAGCTATATTCATCTTTGTCTTAAATATAAGGTCCTCTATGTACTTTGTGCATAATACTACATGCAGTATACTATAAAAAATACTTTATGCAGCATTTTCCCTTATTACTAAGAATTTAACATGTTTTTTTTATCTGTTTCTTTTAAAAGGAGTGTTACTGATTTTCTTAATGTTCTGGTTACCAAGTTGCAGTTCTGAGTGGTCTGACTCAAACTATTTTCCCATTAAGCCACTATTTTTAGTATGAGATTTTGCAAATTAAAAGCAAGGTTTTCTAGGATCAGTATGTGGCATTCTAGTAGAAATACCTGATGATTGGAGCCTTTACCAATATATCTGAACAAAAGGGATAAAGATCCAGTTAATTCTGTCCCTAGAAAATAAAGGCCAGAAAGCATAAATTCTCTCAACTTTCCCAAAATCCATCTCAAATTTACTAATCTTATTACTCATCTTTTCTTCCTCCTTGGGGACACATCAAAGGAAGGAGAGAGAAAAAAATAAGCTTTGAGCTCTTTTTATGTTCCTGGAACTGTATGCTAAGACATTTTAATTTAATTATCAATATGATGACTAAATTGGTAGATTTATGGTAGATAGTATGATTATCACCATTGTGAAGGCTGAAACATATATTCATATAGAATGCCAGAAACTTTTAACAGTGGTTATCAACACAGGAGGGAATTTGATTTTTACTAGATTTTGCTTCCCCAATTTACTGAAAATTCCCTCTTAGAACATCATTTATTAAGGACCTACTACTATATACTAAGCAAAACTTAGCATTCATTTTATGTGTGTCCTCCATCACTAATTGAGTTCCTAAAAGGCTGGAAGAACACTTTGCTTCCTCCACACATCTAACACAAACCTCAGAAGAGAGCAGACTGTTCACATAATTTTAAAAGAACAGCAATTGTATTTCCTCAGATATGGTCACAGGCTGTATCAAAACTTTATACTGTACAGATCTCCTTTCACAACAATTAGTAGTGCAAATTCTTGCCTACTCACAAATACTGTCAATATAATACTGTATATTTTTCTTCATTTACTCATATGCTGGATCTATGCATTAAAAAATTATTTGTAAGTTTACACAAGATAATCAGAGAAGGAAATCCCATCCTCTCTCTTTAAGAACTTAACAATCTAACAGGAGACACAAAATTTAATAAAAGAAAAGACACCAACATTCCAGGCAGAGGGACACACACAGACAAAGTGTAAGTATCAGGAAAACAAAGGTCACATATAGGATAATCCAGGGAATCCAGTTTGCTCTTAACACAAGAACTTATGGTGAGTACTTCAGCCAATGAAATAATCCAGACAGAAAGAATGAGATCTGTCTAACGATAATGTTTATTTAACAACAGCAAAAAAAGAATTCTGCCCTACAATGTGGAAGAGATTGGAAAACTTGAAGTTTGTAAAGCAGTCTATCACTGTACCTGTGATTGTTCCATGGACCTGTGTTCCATTCTTTAATTCAATGGTTACAGTTTCGTGACTCAATTTCATCAAAAATCTATAAAGACAGCAGGAATAAAAAGATAAATTTCATCTTTAACATTTCAAAACATGTTGTCAAAGTGTGAAACTTCTAGAGATTGGAAATCTGCTATAGATACTATCTGCATCAGTTCCTATTAATAATATGTGTAACAATTTTAGCTTTCTCGCAAGTATAGCCTTAACATTTATGAAAGAGCACAATAATAACAATCGCAACTCTTTTGGACACTTCTGGTTCTTTAAACCATTATAGAGCTTAATCTCCAATCATGCATACAGATCCTAAAGTCATTATAAGCAACAAAACTGAAATGAAATTATATGGAGGAAGGTGGTCAAAGGTATGAACTTCAAATAATGGAAGTATTTGGGATGTAATGTACAACATGACTATAGTTGATACTGCTACGGTACACCTGAAAGTTGCTAAGAAAGTAGATCTTAAAAGATGAGATGAGAATCACAATAAAAAAAAATTACTCTTTTGTATCTGTAAGAGATGATATATGTTAACTTACTGTAATATATGTTAACTTAAGACTACTGTGGTAATCACTTAGCGATATATGTAAGTCAAGCCATTATACTGTACACCTTAAACTTAAACAGTGCTGTATGGTCAATTGTATCTTAATAAAAATGAAAGAAAAAACTAATTATAATTGGTAAGAGATTGCAAGTAAGTCTCCCCTTCTAAATCTCTCCATGTGCAGGGGATATTCTTCTAGATCATTTTATTATGCATTCATGAACGTACACATAAGGTTTGTATAAAATTGGGCCATTCTTTAATAGCTGTTACATAACTTACAGTCCTCATTTAGCAGTTTATATTCGAAACACTCATACATGCATCCCTATCACAAATCCATTTATGCAAAAATTCATCAACACTAATTGTTAGCAATCTTCTAAATTTCTGTCAATCTATCAGGGGAAAAAGGCAATTTGCCTTTCCCTTACATTTAAGGTTGATTATCTTTTCATGGATATGAAAATTTGTATTTCTTCTGTGAATTACCTATTCACATATTTTCAATTAGGTCAGATGTTTATTTTATTTTCTACCAGTTTGCCACAGCCATTCAAGTGTGTGTGAGGTTTTCCTCAGTCATAAATTTTTTTTCATTTTTATGTTAAATTTTCGAATCCTCAGAGAAGACAAGTAGTGCATCTTACTATGCTGATGGACAGTGACTGTAATGGGGTATGTGGTGGGGACTTGATAACAGGGGGGAATGTAGTAACCACAATGTTGCTCATGTGAAACCTGAGCATAAGACTGTGTATCAATGATACCTTAATTAAAAAAAAAATTGTGAATCCTTCTCAGATATATGTTCAGGAAGATGTTACCCATCCTAAGATTGCAAAAGCCTCTTATTTTCTTCTAGTTTTATATTTAGTTTTAATCCACCTGATATTCATCTCCTTTCTGAGCACCATGAGGTAGGAATCTGCCTTTATTATTTTCCCTAGTTAATAATGTTTACTGAATAATCCATCCATTCCCCACTTCATCTAGTCTTATGTTCTCTTTTTATTATGAAATATCGCACAAGAAAAAAAGTTGAAAGGTTCACAAATTACTAAATGTTGTAATTTGTGTGTGTATTCCCCCTATTCATACAACTTACACTTTTCACCTTATCACCAGTAAGTAAACTGCAGGCACTCCAGCATGCATTTTCTAATGAGGACATTCTCCCACACAACTGTATTACGACAATCTAGAAAAATGAACAATATTCCCACAAAATGATCTAATATGCAGTTCGTGTTAAAATCTCTAGTTTCTAAATATATATTTTGTATACTCTATCACAGCATCTATCAGATTGAATGGTATTATTTAAGATTACCTGTTTCTCACCCACTAGACAGTACTGCTGAAGATAACAATCACGACACCTTTATAGCCAACCCTGGACTGTAACAGGTGCTGAAATTTCTCTCAATGAACTGGTAATGTTTTATTTTACCAGACAAGAATTCTTTAATGCAGCTCTAAATTTAATTATTACTTGTATTAGCCTAGAATTTTCACCTAATAGTTTCCTTCCACTATGAAATAAAAAAATATATATATATATTAATTGTCTCACTCAGTTATAACTTTTTGGGAGTAGGCAGAATTACTGTAAAAATAAAATAGTAATCAAGAAATCTATCATATGGAAGGAAAAGTAAAACCAGAAAGGGAAAAAGGCCTCTGAAAAAAATCAAAATATATTCTAGGAAGTCCAAGGATATTTATTTACCACTATTTATTATGTGGTACTCTCTGTCCTTGGTATTGAGGATTAAAAAGGAATTAAGACAAGGCCCCCAAGGAGCTCAAATTCTAGCAGGAAAAAGACATACAAAATTAAGTAAATTTAAAATGCAATGGAGATAGGCAGAGGTTTTTTACGAGGAACATACTGCAGCATGGGTAGGAGGGAATCAAATCTTAGTGGACTTTATTCTATTAAGAGGTCTGAAAAGTTGGAAATACACAGCAAAAAGAGACAAGAGCAGAGAACAACATACAGAGAAATTATAGGTACTATCAGTGGAATATTAAACCCAAGAAAAATGAGTTGGAAGAGTTGGGCAGGTTCCTTTCATGGTGAGCCCAAGCTCTGTTGAAGAATTCGTCCAAGAGAGCTACTGAAGAGTTTTCATCAACGAAGTGGAGTACGAGGGTCACATTCACACTGGAAGACAAATTAGGTGGCTAGAGAAGTAAATAGTACAGTAATCATGACATAAGAGGAGTAAATATATCAATGAAACAGAAAAGAGTTCAGAAATAGACTCACATTTGTAATAGTCAATTTCCTATAAAAGTGTTGATGGGACTGCCCAAACAGTCCGATGGGCACAGGAAAGAAAGCCTTTTCAACAAATGAAATCCACAACAGGGATTTATATTCTGTAATAGTATGGAATAACTGGAAAACCATATTAAAAAGTGAACCTAGATCCCTAACTCACACCACTTACCAGATTAATTCAAGATAGATCACACACCTACATAAAAGTTAAAATTGTAAACTTTTCAGAGGAAAACACAGGAGAGTAACTTCTATGGTTTGAAGGCAGATGTAAGTTTGACAGTACACAGAGTGCAAGAACCATGAGAAAAAAGAGCTGGTCAATTAAGACTTCCTCAAAAGAAACTACTGCGCACCCAAAGGCAGTGTTAAGAAAATGAACCAGCAAACCACAAACTGGAAGAATTTCTACCTGACAAAGGATCAGTATGCAGGATACATAAAAAATTACAACTCAATAATATAAAGAAATAACACATAATCAATATTGAACACATATTAAAGATATAAAGAAAACACAAAGCTTATTCAATAAGCAGATGAAAAAATGCTCATGATTAGTTATTAGGAAAATATGAATCAAAGCTGTAACAGATACTACACAAGCACTAAAATGACTAAAATTAAACTGATAACAAACACTAGTGAATGCATGGAGCAATTGCAATTCTCGTATACTTTCGGTGGGAGTGTAAAACAGTACAGCCACTTGGGAAAATGGTTTGGCAGTTTGGTATTAAACTAAAGGTATACCAATGCTATACTTCAGCAACTCCACCCCTAAGTACTGATTCAAAAGAAATGAGAATGTTCCAAAGCAGTTTTAAACAAAATATGTAACTTTTAAACATACAACGGACTATTCACTAATAAAAAGAAACAAATTACTGACAGAAGTCATAATGTGGATGAATCTCAAAAATATTCTGAGTAAAAGAAATTTTACACAAAAACAATGCATTACTGCATGATTCTAAATACATGAAATTCTAGTGCAATCAATAACTAAGGTGGAAGAAACTGGTTGCCTCTTGGGGGTATGGACCAGAAGGGCTTGAGGGAACTTTCTGAGGTTTTGGTAGTGTTCCGTATCTCGAGAGGGATGTTTTACACAGATGCATACATTTTTCTAAACCAGGAAATGTACACTGAATTTCACTGTATATTTACCTCAAGAGATTGAATAAAAACCCGTGGTGGAAAAAAAAGGGAACCTAAACAGCTCAGTGGTGGCAACTGGAATGGTACAGAGAGTGTTGTGGGCTGGAGTAGACAATTAAGCCCAGGAACCAAACAGATTCAAATTATTTTCTGATGAATCCTTCACTATCTGAATTCTATTTACTGACACTTAGGTATTCAGATAACAGTATCCTTCAGTATTCAAACCCACTATTTAGGTTAAAAAATCAGAGAGAACTGGATAGTAAGAATTTCTTCCATAAGGAAGCTAAAACTGCCAAAACTTGGCAATTTTTCAGACTGTCAGGATTATCAAGAGAGAAAGAAGTCAACGACGACTCGCAGTTTGGCTAGGGTAACAGTAAGGACGATAGTACCAACTGAAGTATAGAAACAAGAAAGTCAACTGAAAAATGCAAAACACACACCCATTTTCTTGGAGCAAAATACATTACCCAGGAAGAATATCTTTAAACCAGACAAACTGATTCAAAAAAGTATTACATAATACTTTTCTATAAATGCATTCAGACTGGCAGGTGTTGAGAAACAGTGAAAATACACTTTAAATTACGATGTTTTTTTCCTCCTAAGTTATAGTTTAAATAAAAACGTACTAAAAGTTAACGCTTCTCTACAAACTCCACCCTGATTTGAATAAGGGTTTTATAAATTATTTCAAACATACTAGATGTTACCTACTGTGTGTCTTTTCACCACAAAACAAAAAGCACCAACAAGGCAGTGAGTTTGCCTCAAAAAAGAAAAAAAATTCATTATCAGCACACAGAATACCAGGTACCCAATAAACTGTTTGGTCGACACCGACAATCCTTGCCTCAACAGACAAATATTTTCAGCTAAATATTTGCAACTGCTGTCCTAGTTTTTAGAAATCTCTGCTTCTATGCTCCAAGGCTTTCAGCCTCATGGAAAAACACTAAAACCCAAACTATTTGCAGGTAGTTTGGAGGGAATCACTCAAATCTTGTAAAGGAGATTCAAGTAACCCAGTTTAAACACGGAAATAAAACAGATATCGATTATCTGTGTACTCAGTCACAAATACGAAAAGTGATTCTACCCCATGTTGGGAGATTGGTCTTAAATTTGAACCTACTTTAAAAAGAAATGTAGATTGAATAATTTTAAATTTAGGGACTAGCAAACAATAAATTGAAAAATTTAGGAAATCAGAGCTCCATCCTGATTTAAAACAATTCCGAAATGGGGTTTTCATTATTTCCAGATAAACCTCAGCAGCTTCCCTACTCGTAAAAACTGCGTTAACTTTAACTGCTTTTGCAAAATACTCGGTTTTTCTTTGTCTCCCACGTTCTCAGGGCGTGTGGACGTTATGTTGGCCGGTTCCTGAGAGCTGAGCTGGGCCAGAAAAGTAACCTAGACTAGGGCACGAGTTCTAACTCGAAATGAACATTGTTAACTAACCGAAAATAAGACCTGGCGCTACGTCTCAAAACCCTTTAGGACACTAGGTGAGAAGAAACGGTCCAGCCTGTACGTCCACATGCTGAAAGACACGCGGGACCCCGGCACCACCCGATTCGAAACCCGGGCCGAGCGCCCGCGGCGGCGCGGCTAAGCTGCGGGATGGGGAAGCGGCGGGAGCAGCGGGAGCCGGAGGGCCGTTAGCAGGCCGCGCGCGCACGCGGTTTTCGCGCCTCCTGCAGCTGCAGCAGCCCGGCCTCCCGCTCCCGGCCCACAACCGTCCCACTTGGTCACCTCCTCACCTCACTAGCTTCATCCTAGCGGCGCCGTCCCCTTTGGGTGCGAAAGAACCCCGAAACCGACAACCGAGAGACTGGGAGGATGAATGGCCGGAAACTCGTACTCCCGGAGCTCGGAGGTAAAGAGCTCGCGGAGCGCTGCGCACGCACGGCGGAAACGCCGAGGCCGCGCTGGGCCGCACTCCCTTCCGGCCGCGAGGAGCGCCACTGCGACCCCTGGCAGCTGGAGGTGTGCCTTGCGATTGCCGAGGGCGTTGAGATGGCTGAGAGGAAATTTCCTCTAAGATTTGAGAAAATTGAACCCAATTAGTAGGCACTTAGGCACCGCAGGGCGCCGTATATTATGCAATACCAAAGATACCTATGATCGCAGAGAAGCCCAAAGAACTGCTAATTCTGTTCTAACACCGGAAACCTCAGCATTACTGAATGTACCTGAGGAAAAATCACACAATTTAGTTGATTATTTTCACTTAAATTCTGGTCCCAGATCTCAAAAGAATAGCCTACAGTGTCCAGAGATCGTGTTATACTTCTGTAATATGCTTATAAACTATTTTCACACCTTTCTTCTCTCCCTCTCAAACCTTTTACCGTCCTTATCCCAAATCACTCTGCTAGTATTTCCTACTTATTTGAGACAGAAGTATCCTTCTTTTCTTCCTGTTTCAAGGGTAGAAGTATTGTTGCTCCTTTCAAAAAAGAATTCCTCTTCGTTGTAGTCAGGATCCCATCTCATTTTCTCAGGAACTGCTCTCCAGTATCCCCTTCTAACTTGAATCATTAATTTCTCCCTCTCTGCTGGATTTCTTCTGTCAGCATACAAATTTATCTTAAAACAAACTTCTCCTGTGATGCAGCTCCAGCTACTGCTGGATTTCTTGCACAGGAAAACTTGGATGAGCTGTCTGTACTTGTTTTATCACCAAACTACACTGAAATTGTTTTTCTAAAGGTCATGAAAAACCTCCAAGACAAACTCCTATCTTCATCTTAATATCTCAGCATCATTTAACACAAGCACTCCCCTTTTGAAACACCCTCCTCTCTAGGCTTCCAGGATGCCAAGCACAGCTGGTTTTATTCCTCTCCCAGTAGCTCCTTTCTCTAGGTCTCCTTAACTGCTTAATCCTCCACTGAGCCATTACATGTTGGAGTGCTGCGGGGTTTACCCTAGGTGTAGTCTCCTTATGGATATTCTCCTTTAGCCTCCCTGGGTGATCTCCAAAATCAGGGCTTTCATTTATATATCCAGTCTGGACTTCATCCCCAATCATCAGAACTCTGGTATGTTTTAAGTCAATGCTCATCACACTTTAATGGGAATAGGACTCACCTGAAGGAAACTTTACAATGAAAATTCTGATTCAGTTGGTGGAGGGGTCTGAAATTCTGCATTCCTTCAGCTGATGATGTTCCTTGACCATGGACCACAATTTGAGTAGCAAGACTGTAATGAACATTTCTGTGTTGCCTTCTCAACACCTATGCTCCCTCTTCCCGGCAATACCTATACTCTGGTGATCCTTGTGGTCCTAAGGAAGGTGACTCTACCCTGTGTCAGTCATCATATTCCATTAATTGTCCACAGTAGGCTTGGGATGTAAGCTGATCCAATCAGAAGTTTGCAGGGAATACTTTTTCCTTCCAGATGTGAATGGAGAAGTAGTAGCTCCTGGAGTTATCAAAACTCCCTTAGAACCAAGAGAAGAACTTGTCTTAGGAGTGTATTAAAAGAGACCCAAAACCATGATGATATGAATGAGCCTCAGGATTAAAAACGAAGCCTAAATGTGGCTATTTAAGTTAAAAAAAAAAAAAACTTCAGTTTCTCAGTAGCAGTAATCACATTTCAAGTGCTCAATAGCCCTATGTGGCTATGACTATCCTTTTGAACAGTGCAGTTATACATTTCCATCATCACAGAAAGTTTGATTACACAGTACTGTTTTGTTCATTACCATATTTGCTTCTTTCTTAGAATGTTATTTACTTATTGTCTGACATGAGAATGTAAACTGTCTGAAGGCAGAGATTTGTCTCTTCTGTTTACTTCTACAACCCCGGCATCTAGAATAGGGCCATGCATACAATGTGCCCTCAATAAGTATTTGTGAAATAACTGAGTAGCTCCCTCATTAGAATGTACGCTGCATGAGGAAAGAGACTGAGTGTGTATTATTCACTGCAGTATTCCTAGTACTGATCACAGGGGATTCCCCCCAATTATCTTCAAGGCCCTTCCTGCTTTGGGCTCTGTCTACCTTTTAATCTCTTTCCCTTTTGTGGTCTTGGAATGTTTGAGTTCCTGCAACTCATCAAGCTCATTTTCCTCTCCAGACTTTTGCATGTTCAGTTCTTTAACCTGACTAGCACCTATTCATCCTCTCTCAAGTATGTGGGGCCAGCATTATTACTTGTATGTATTAGTGGTGTGTCTTCCAGAAAATGGCAAATTGAAATGTCATTGTTGGTTGATCTATATCAAATTGCAGTAAGCTTGCTTTCTACATTTTAGAATTTTTACTCTCATAGTATAAAACTGTTAAGAGTCCTGAAGTAAAGTCAACAAGAGTGGAGTGACAAAGCAAAAGGTCTTTATTGCTGCTAGCAGGAGCATGGGTCTGAAAGTGAGACTACCCCATCTTCTAGGAGTTAGCACAGGTTTTGTATGTTACAGGCATTTGGATTGGTCACAGGAAAGGAAATAGCACAGGTTTTGTATGTTACAGGCATTTGGATTGGTCACAGGAAAGGAAAACACCAAGGAAATGTCGGGCAGTGCAACTATTCCATTGTTAGTTTTTAGAAGTTGATGTCCAAATAATAAGAAAGTGCAGAAAAGTACATTCTGCAGTTTGGAGTCAGCAAGGAAAACAAACATTTTTTAAAAGTCCAGAAGATTGTACTCACAATTTTGAGTTTAGCAGGAGAACTTTCAAATAGGGACTTGTGCCTTCTGGAATTGTAGGGATTGTGAAAATGAACTTCTTGATTTACAGAATGATGTTGAGCACCAAAATGGATCCATCATCTAGCTTACAGTGTTTGTTTTTAGCATGCGTACATGGCAAAAGGTGAACCATTCAGAGCTGCCCCAGGACCTTCTAAGGAACTCTCAGGAATGGATGCCTCTAGTTTTACTGGGATCAGTTCTCTGTGATCTTATAATCTTTGAAAGCTCAGTCAAGTAGATAATTTATTCAGCTTACTATGACTATTGTTTAGTATACAACAAATCACATGAACCAATTCCAAAGTTCACAGAAAGACTGCCTTAAAAGAAAACTACTGATAGAAGGCAAAACAAATTTTGTCAAACATGATGTTATAGCATAATGAAGATTTAATCATACTATAAATTGAGACCTCTGGCATTAATGGATCAAAATTTAAAAATACCTTTTAAAATGATAGAGGATAATGCCTAAGAAAGTTTGTTTTCCCATAAAAGCAAACTATTTTTTAAAATTTATTTTTGAGATATAATACATAAACCATAAGGTATATGATTTTATAACTAACACATATAACTTTAAGGTGTACAAGTTGATTTGATACATGTATGTATTGCAATGATTAATACCATGGCTGATGCCTCTATCACTAGTTACATAAAAATAGTTTTTTAAAATTAAAATTTAGTCTCTTAGCAACTTTGAAGTTTATAATACAGTATTGTGGAAGCAAACTAAGCCATACTTTTGTTACCATACCTTTAACTTCACCTGGAGTCAGCCCCCTTGAAACTGGAAATGAGACAATAATTAACTGCTGGTTCTACACATGGCCCTCTACTATTTCTGGCAGCTTCTCCAGCAGCTGAGACAAAGAAAGATTCCCATTTCCCCTTTAAACACCCCTCCTCCTGAATGGCATTTTGAAGATGGTCTTGGGAGGTTCATCCACCATCTTCTCGGGTTGCCGTCTTCCTGCATAAAGTCACTTTTCTTGATGAAAAGGGGGAAATTATAAGAAAAAATTCTGAAATGTCCTAGGTTAAATGACATAAGGGCCAGAGGAAGAGGGAGAGAGACAAGGGAAGGTAATCAGTCAATAGCTGTGGGCTATAGCTAATCACAAACTCCATGTTCCTGGTTGAAGCCATTTCAACATCATCTAGATGATACCCAGACCCGCCACATCCCCCTTGTGCACGACCAGGATCTGGTCATCATTAACAACCAAACCACAAGCTTTCTCTGTGGACTAACCCCCATCCCTGATTTTCTCTGCTTTGTCCTAGCCCACTTTCCTTCCTGTCTTGCCAATGGGTTTCAGCCCCAGGCAAGTTTGCTATGAATTCAATGTGACCAAAGAAATTGACAGCAAAACTCTCTTGGGGTGAAAGGGTTATACCCAACTTTATTTCCATGTGGCAGTTCAGTCACTAAAATCCCATTCACTCAGAGCGAGTCTGCATGCAGCAAGCCGGTCTCTGCCTCTGGGCCCCTCTGTCCGCACAGCCGTCCCACACAGCCGCCCCCTGAGCCTTCTCTGCACAGTCGTCCCTCACAGCTGTCCTCTGGGCCTCTGTCCTCGGCACTGCCACCACTCCAGCTTCTGCTCTGCTCTCCTGCAGCCTTACAGCCCTGCCACCATGTCGTGCCCAGAGCACTGGGCAGAGCTCTTTTTATAGAGTCAACAGCCATGTATTGCCCACAGGTGTGGAGTGAGCAAGTCAGCCACAGCCAGGTGAGAATCCTGGCCACAAGAACTCTCATTTTATCCACACTTACCTGTACCCAAGGTGAATTCTAAGAATTTTCTTTCCTTGAGGCCCCTCATAAATGTCCCATTTCTTTAGTTCAGCAGACAGTTTGCTTTTGTTAACGGGCCTTACTGCTGGAGAAGCAGAAACTTCCCATCCCAGGATCCACTGTTTTTTCTAGTAGTATCTGTAAGGGCTCAGTAAACCTTTTTAGTTCAGACATCTCTAGGTTTCTAGAGTTTCTGATCTGTCACTTTCCTTGCCTCAACACATGTCCCTCAATTTATTGGTCCGTTGTCCAGCAAGTGGAATGAGCTTGAACTTGGTTAATGGTTTCAGAGCATGTTTAAAAAACTGATTATATTTAGGTTTCAGAAAAGAAAATCTAGAATAAATGGCAGTCATGAATTATATATCAAATGTGATTCACTTATCAGAAATAAGTATGTATTATTTTATGTGGTGAGATATTTGTAAGAACTCCTATGCTTCTGATTGTGGTTAATACAAGTATAGTGGAATAGATCACACAGAAGCAGAGGCCTATTTTGTGGTAATGGAAACTTGTATGTGTGGTTTGTGTATGTGTATGTCAGAACTTAAGTTACTAAAGATAAAATGGTTTACACACAAAAAGAATCCCCCCAGCTGTCTGACCAACTAAAGGTGAAGGCAAATAAATAGATACTCTGGGACATAACCAGCTCTAATCAGGTCAGCAGTCGACTCCTGAGCTTTTCCCCAAGACATATGGGTATGCCATTACAGTATGTGTATTAGGGCCTGGGGATGAGGATGGGGGCAGGAGGCAGGTTTTTGCCAAATTATGCATATATGGTGATCTGGGCAATGGCCTCACCCATCAATACCTCTCCTTTTGGTTTTTAAACAATAGACTTTCTGGACTAAATTGACAGGCAGCTCAATAGTTTTGTGGAGGCTGTATTGTCAGAAAAACATAAGGCTTGACGAACTTACAGCATATTTTGGTTCAAAAAGGTAAGTCAAGCAGGGGAGAATTTACGATCTCTCTCCCGATTCTCAAAGGGAAGGGTGTGATTACCCATCCTCACGGTTCTACAGCGGAAGAACAGCACAGAACGCGCGTTAAAAGGCAGTGTGGAAACCACTAATTTTAGTGCTAGAACCTTGAATTTTTTCCTAGATGCTTCTTAAAGCCAAACCTTTGTCTGAACAGCCGCCATGGTTAAGCGTAATGGAACATTCATTGTCTTGACGATTCTTGTGTGCCGGTACTAGGAATTAAATGTGCAAGGTGAAGCCCTGCATTTATTTTTTTAGAGGGAGTGTTTCCGCAAGGAGAGAGGAGGGTCAACTGCCTCCTCTTTCCTTCACAGATGCCCGTGTCAAAGATTTAAGGTATTTAACCCGGGTCGCAGCAGTAGGCCGCAATCAACAGAGAAACCGGTGGCGATGGATGCCAAGAGAAACTACCCTTGCTAGCGGCGTGGGTGACTTTATTCCGAGATGACCCCAGGAAGGGCCAGTGGCCGCCGCCTGGGGGCGCCGCAGCTTCCCCGCGAGGTGCATAACCGCGGGGCGCGCACGCGAGGCCTCCCACCGCGCCTGCGCTGAGGGCGGCCTCCGGCGCGTCTTTCCCCGACGCCCAGCCGTCCGGCCCGGGGTTTAAAACTGCGTGACACGCAACGAGCGTGGCGGCCATCTTCGTCTTCTGGGCTCGTCCGCTGAGCGGGTTAGGACTGAGAAGGAGCGTTGCGCAAGCGCGTCCAAGACGGTCACAGGTAACTCCCATTTGACGGGCGAGGCGTCGCCGTCGTCGCCGGAAGTTTGGCGTTTTTGCGCCGCTGGAGAGGCGGCGGTCGCGGCAGAAGCAGCTGAGTGTCTCTTGATACCCGGATGTGAGGCGATCTGCGGGCTTGCGGTGGACTCTCGGCGAGGAGTGAGGAAGGTACACTGGCGTCTCGATCGTCCCCGCCGCCTGCTGTCGCCCCGCCTGCGTCCTCACCTCCCTTTCGCTAGCCCCTCCAGAGCGCCGGCCGGTTCTACCCCTTCCTTTCCCACCCTCTGTGTCGTTTGCCTTGCACGTCTCTTCCTACTCTGGTCCGGGCTCCTGGCGCCTCTGGGCGTGGGTGGGCGGCTCGGAGTCCCTGTCGCCTGAGGTAGGCAGCCAACCTGCGCGTGTCGGCTGCCCAGTCGCCGCATCACTTGCCAATGCTTGGTCGGGGGTCGGAGGTAATAGGGGGCCGTGAGGGAGGACGGGGTCAGGCCCCTGGGGACTCGCAGAGCCCCGAAGTGGCGTGCAGCTACTGCAGGTACTGGGGCGGCGTGGGCACCCGCCAGCAGGTAGCCCCGGGCCTCGGCCCTGTCCCCGGCGGCTCTGCTCCGCGGCGTTCCCCCCACCGAGCCGGCCCCTCCAGCCGTCGCAGAGCTGCGGTTCCTGCGATCGGCTCCCCTGCCCCCGCCGCTCCTTGCTGACCCGGCCTGAACCCTGCGGCCTCTGCAGTCTGCGGGCCGGGATGTGGGGATCTCGGGTTCACAGCCTTCAGCCTGGAAGGATAGCAGTGGCCCAGGTCCAAGGTCATAGGGTTTTTTGGGTTGGACAGTAAGGGGTTTGGGCACAGGTGGGGCTGCTCTGGAGTAGAAATGGGTGCATTGAGGGCCACAGCAAAGCTAATAGAATTATATGCGAACGGAAGGGAATTGGGTCCTCGGTTTTCATCACTTACTCGTAAGATTATTTTACAACGGGGACTTGTTTAACTCAGGCAGAACGGGATAGCAAGTCCAAAAATTAGAGAACTCCCTCCTTCCCAGCACCTCTCACCCTCCCATCTCTGAATGTTAAGTTCTGAAAACCCAGCCGGTAGCGGATTTCCCGGGCAAGGAGGCCCTCGCAGCGCGGGAGGAGGAAGAGTTAAAATCGCTGATTTGAGAAGTACTATGAACCTGTTTTCCGCAGCCTTCAGGTAGCTGAATTCAGGGATTCTTTTCGGCAGGAAGTAACTACATCACGCAATATTTAGTGTTATCAAATGGTATTTCAGTACGGAATTAATCTTTGCAGAAACCAATGAAAGAATGCTACTTAGTGGAATAGTAGGATGTGGTGGGTTTTGTTTTTCCCCCACTTAACCATTAATTTTTTAAAAACTGGGTAAAGCACGGATTTAGGTTTGAAACATTCTGGTTGCAGCAAACTGTGCTTTATTCAGCCTCTTCTGATTAGGTCTTTAGGTTCTGCTTTACACAGGGTACCAACACTTGTGGAACTTTTTAAAATTTCAAGACTTAAAAATTCTCACCATGGAATTAGACACAAGAGTAGGATGAAAATTGCTTACAAAGTGCTTAATTTGGAAGCTGCAGAATCAGGCCTAAAGCTTGTGGGGAAATGAGAAAACTGAGACCCTCCCCCTTTTTAGGCAGAATGCAGCATATGCCCCTTAGGTCAGATGTGTGACTTTGAAAGTATCCTTCTTAGAACAAAAATTGCCCTAACTTAGGAGCTTCTGCCCACCTTAATCATTTCTGGCCGAGGAATATATGCTATCATTTACATTGATCAGTATTATAATTCTGTAGTGGACGATTTTTTTGTTAACACCAGCCCCATTCAAAGTTTTGTGCTAGGCATTTAAATCGGTAAGTATGCTGTCAGAACTGAAAAAGGACCCTAATTAGTGAATGCCATTAACCCCCTTTTAGCTAGGTAATTCATTATAGCACAAGCTGATTGCATTTATTCTAATAATGAAGGTGATTAGCATTGCACAATGCAAAATAATGAATTTTTAAAATATCTTTTTCATGACTTGTATTAACAGATTTATGTTCCACATAGAGTTCTTTGGAGAAGTTTAGATGGTAGTTAGAAATGAACTTCAGTAAAATCATAGGTAATTAACCTAAGTACTATGTTATCCCTTCTGAAGAGCCCAGATGTTTATGTTTCTCTGTGCATTCTTTTTCTTGGCATTGTGAAAGTTCTTTGGCTCTATTTCTATATAAGTTCGGTATTACAGCTATATTGAACTACTGTAGTTGCTTTTGGAAAATACATGATTCTGTTAACCCAGCCATCCTGTCTTTTATCATTTGAGGAGCTTAATTTGCATCACAGTACATTTTGAAGAGAGCAAGATTTATGTTCTCTGCTCTTTTCAGCTTATTTATGGCTGCACTTGCTAGATTCACAGAGATTAAAACTCAGAATGTAAATAAAAATAGGGTAGTAAGTATTACGTTAATGTAGTGGTTTTCAGACTTTTTGGTTAGAATCTCTTATACTTCTAAAAAGTATGTAGGACTCCAAATAGCTTTTGCTTATATGGGTTATATATGTTGATAATTATTGTACTTGAAATGGACTTAAGTTATTTATTAAAAATAACCAGTAAACTAATTACAGGTTAACATAAATGACATTTTTTATGAAAAACAACTTTTCCAAAACCAAAAAAAATTTAGTGAAAGAATAGCAACTGTTTTACATTTTTATGTTTCTTTAATGTTTGGAGTAATAGGAGACAGGTGGGTTCTCTTATAAACTGCATTCAGTCTATTAGATGTTTTTTGGGTTGAAGTATGTGAAGAAAACCCAGCTTTACACTGGTATGTTGGGAGGAGTATCTTAATAATGTTTTCAGATAATTGTGATATTCTTTTATTTTACAGCAAAACTCAACAAGTGGTCATTTCTTTTCCTTTTTTTTTTTTAAGGCTTGTTTTTTTTTTTTGAAGGGTAGTTGACACACAGTATTACATTAGTTTCAGGTGTACAACACAGTAATTGAACATTTATATACATGATAATTCTAGGTATCAGCTATCACCATACCAAGTTGTTACAATATTTTGACTATATTCCTTATACTATACATTACATCCTGGTTACTTATTTATTTTACAATTGGAAGTGTGTACTTTTTTTTTTTTTTTTGTGAGGGCATCTCTCCTATTTATTGTTCAAATGGTTGTTAACAACAATAAAATTCTGTATAGGAGACTCAATGCTCAATGTATAATCATTAATCTACCCCAAGCCTCATTTTCGTCAGTCTCCAATCTGCTAAAGCATAAAGAACAAGTTCTTACATGGAGAACAAATTCTTGCATAGTGAATAAGTTACATGGTGAACAGTACAAGGGCAGTCATCACAGAAACTTTCGGTTTTGATCATGCATTATGAACAATAAACAGTCAGTTCAAATATGAATATTCATTTGATTTTTATACTTGATTTATATGTGGATACCACATTTCTCTCTTTATTATTATTTTTAATAAAATGCTGAAGTGGTAGGTAGATGCAAGATAAAGGTAGAAAACATAGTTTAGTGTTGTAAGAGAGCAAATGTAGATGATCAGGTGTGTGCCTGTAGACTGTAACAAGTGGTCATTTCTTAAGGGTTAATAGCCATGTGCAGTCTGAATCCCTATCTATATACTTTTTGTACTATGTTGCATTGAAATTCCTTGGTCTGTTTTGCACTTTGAATTGATCTTTTATCCATTAATGATTTTGACCTAATGAACTCCCTTGAGAGGGTCTCTGTGATCCTAATGGTCCTAATACTACACTTTGAGAACTACTGCTTTAAATGTAAATAAATTAGTTTAGAATAATGTAGTTATAGAAGCTGGAAGGGATAATGATAATATGGAAATGGAGTTGTCCAGTAGTTAAGTGAAACCAGGAGTAACTAAGGTAAATATTTTCTATTTTATGTTTTCTCTTCATCAGAAATATTATATCTGTAATATTAATTTTTATGACTAATTATTACTATATCTAATACTTAATGAGTGCTTATGATGTGCCAGGAGATTTTCTAAGGACTTTGTATTAGGAAATGTTTCTCTTTTGTCATCTTTAGTGATGGTTGAAAGGCAAATATAATTTAACTTAGGTTGTTTTCTTAGAGAGTACGGTCTTTCTGACATACATTATTCTTTAAAATAGATACAGTTCCACTTTAGAGGATACATACTGCTTAGATAATTTCTCTGTAAGGTATTTGAACATAGGGAAATATGCCTATTCCCGGCATCTATAACTGTATGTACTTAAAATATATAATTTTAGACTAGCCCATTGGAAAATTGAGTTACTAAATAAAACAAATATTAGTAGTTTTTAAGATAATCTAGTTAACATGTAAATGTGAAATTTACTCTTTTATTTTGTTAAATCAGTTCAACTAATATTTGAAAGTTTCTTGTGACCATGGTCACTAAGTAAAGTTTTTCTTCAAAAACCAAAATAGATTATAATTTTTAGAAAATAAATTTAGGCTTATTTTAAAAATCTGGTGCATATTAAAATTTGTATAATTTCAGATTCACTTTTTTGGTAACATGGAGATATAATCTACCCTTAAAAATTACAACACATTGGTTTTTTAGTATATTCAAAGAGTTGTGCAACCATCACCACTGTCTAATTTTAACATATTTGATCACCCCAAGAAGAAGCCCCATGCTGGGTACTAATGTCATTCCTCATTTCCTTTCCTCCCTAGCCCTTTACAAACCAGACCTACTATCTGTTTTTATAGATTTGTCTCTTCTGGCCATATCATAATAAATGCAATCATACAACATGTGGCCTTTTGTGACTGGCTTTTCTTCACCTAGCATAAGGCTTTAAAGGTTAATTGATGTAGCATATATCAATACTTCATTCCAGTTTGTGGCTACATATGTTATATGGATATACCACATTCTGTTTATTCATTCATCAGTTGATAGACATTTATGTTGTGTCCGTATTTGGCTATTATGAATAATGCTGCTGTGAACATTTGTGTACAAGTTATTGTGTAGCCCTATCCAGGTTCACTTTTGAGCTTTTCTGATGTGTTTTACATAGATATAAATAATGCATATTTTCATAACTGGTAGGTATATTCTTTTGTGATGTGAAGGTTCAAACAATACATATTTAA